ATTGATTTTGTGATGTCACACATTGAAAAGTAATATGATTATTGTTTATTGGCGTTTACTCTACCAGAGATGGTTTTAAGTTCTGAAGTATTGGTTATTGCTCCTTTAATTGATCATAGTAGAGATCAACTTTTGAACTCAAAACCATATCTGCTAGCAGAGTAACTGCCCAACAGACAATAATAATATGATTTTTCAAAGACAGTGACATTACATAAATCATAAACACTCTTTTATAGGTCTGTTGACTAGGACCAAAAGCAAAGGCGTGGTTTTTATGTAAAAAATACGAAAAAATGTTAGTGTCTTCTTCAAAAGCGAATATCCCCAAAAAATAATGCTATTGAGAAACATCAAAAACAAGCTATCGAGAAAAAAATACACCTAGATCATAAAATGATTTTTAAATTTCTTGCTTTGTTAACGTACTCAACAACGAGTGTTTCAAACTTTCACTAAAATATCAACATTTTGTCGTCCCTCGTATAATTTATTCATGGCAACTTTCATTTTTAATTTAGAAAGAGGCACTAAAAAGTCAAATAATTTAGCTACAAATTGCTTAAAAAATCATCAGAATCCATCCACTAGAATACAATATACAAAACTTTAAAATACATGAAAATTTTAAGCTGTCCGTTTTTCATGTAAGTGAGTGAACTTTTCTTCTTTGTTCTTTGGTGTTTTATTTTGCTTCTGACGACGGGAGTAGGTATACTTCCTAAAACGTAAACTTCCTAAAAACCGTTTGGTTTCAACACAGTGCAGTGGTGTTTACAAAAAATTACTTTTTATTTTGTGGAGATTTTCTTCCAATGACATAAACCCAGAATGAACCTGCCACGAAACTATAGACATTATTTATAATGATTGTTTTATTAATCGGTTAATGGCCGTTTTGAGTTTGTAATTTTAAGAACATTGAGTTTCAAGTAGTATACAAGAAATAATGTCGTTATAAGTTTAACTGTTTGAACTTTTATTTTCCAGAAGCGAAAAACTTCTTATAAAGTAATTAGAAACACTATTGTCGTAATTGAAAAGTCTGAGACCATTAGGAAACTCTGCAACCTTTTATTTTTCTAATTTGACGTTGGATATTTTTCGAAGAATGTTGAATTTTTTAGCTAAATTAAGTTGCTTATTATTTTAGTATTTTTTTCATACTTCATTTGCTATTGAGTAAAATTCAAAAAGATAATATAGCACTATCGTTACGTCAAATTAAAAAAGCTGTAAAGATGTATTCAGTAGCATATAATTACACCCAACAGTAATTTTATTGTTTATTGTATATATTATATTATATTATAATCAATAATATTGATGTGAAACTCTGTTTCCTTGTGATTCCCAACATAAATCTAAATATTGTTTGCTTCTGATTTCGTTGGAAAATACCTTAGACTTTTAAGAGACAGACACACCTACAGTATTGGCCATAATGGTTGGAACTTTTATATTTGTTAAATTTTTTCTACAAATTCAATATTCCTTATTCTCATATACAAATCAAATCATAAATCTAAGGAAACATAAACAAAATAAGATGTTAGTATTCAAGTCTTATCTCTGTATACAATATTATCAGTAATTTTTTTTTTGGGGCTGGACAAAAAACTTGGAACTATATTCAAATTGTCAAAAGGTATTCTAGATAATTATAGTTTCTAACTAGCCAGCGTTTGTGTTACACAGTTTTACAATAATTGAACTATTATTATCAGTATGGCAAAAGGAAAAGCGTATTCTAGTGATATTCGTCAGCGAATTCTAGATTTCTACAACCAAGGTATCACTTATCAAACAGAGTGTAATTTCTGAAAGACTTAAAGTTCCAAAAAACACGGTGTCACGTATTATTAAAAAATATAAAGTGTATGGTCACGTAATTCCGGGAAAAAACATTGGAAGACCTAGAGCTACAAATGCCCGCATGGATAAAAGAATTTCAACTGTGTCGCATAATGATCCTTTTTTATCTTCTTGGAAAATTTTACAAAAAATAAGAGAAACTGAACCTTGCAATATTTCGGCAAGAACGATAAGGAGACGATTACTGAGTACTGGACTCAAAAGCTACAGACCCGCCAAAAAACCATTACTAAGACAAAAAAAAACATCAAGTTACGGTTACAATTTGCCGTAGACCACATCCATTGGACTGTGCAAGATTGGAAAAAGGTGTTATTCATGCAGTGACGAGTCCAAATATAATCTGTTTTCTAGTGTGGTATTGTACATGTTAGGCGACCAAAGGGCAAAAGACTAGAAAGAAAATACGTTAGACCGACAGTGAAGCATGGAGGTGGTAACGTAATGGTGTGGGGCTGCTTTTCTTGGTATGGCGTGGGGCCTCTTCATCGAGTGGTAGGAAAAATGGACAGGTTCATGTACAGAGACATCCTTCGTGACGTAATGAAGCCATACTCGTTTGAAAGTATGCCCGTTAATTACATTTTTCAACATGATAACGATCCGAAGCACGCTTCAAAGCTTGTAAAGGAAAGGTTTGACACGGAAAAGATCGCAGTATTAAAGTGGCCAGCACAAAGTCCCGATTGAAAATTTATGGGAACATTTAGACCGCAAAGTTCGTGAATTGGCACCTATCAAAAATGCCAATGAGATGTTTGAAAAACTTACTCAAGCCTGGAATACCATTGACAGACCAACAATTGAAAATCTAATAGAATCAATGCCAAGAAGAATGCAAGCCGTCCTTAACGCCAAAGGTTATCACACTAAATATTAAATTATGTTAAGAAAATTTATTTTGTTTTTCGTTTTTAATAAATGATATGCTTTTGTTCCAACTATTTTGTCCAGCCTATTTTTTTATTTTAAACCCAAAACCCAAACACCGCCGACATTTGATATAAATTTTACTTTATTTTATTAGGTTTGCATTAAGCTATACCTACATTATTTAATAAAAATCTTAAAATGTGTAGTATGTAATAAATATATTGCAAAATATAAAAAGTTCCAACCATTATGGCCAATACTGTATCTGAAATGTCGTTAAGGCGTTTTTCTTTAATACGGTAGTATACCGCAAGAAAGAACGTGGTTTATTTGTATATTCTATTAAAAAAAGATGCAATCGACACGAAGTTCTACGTAGTTGCAAATCAATTGAGCCCAATGAAAAACTGTTTTAAAGGACTAACTAGAGATGGGCCAGCTGTTCAGAGCCTGCATCCGAGATTTCCATATTAAAGAAATTATTTCTGATGTAAGACAAACATTTTATAATAGCGTTTTAACAGATATTGCAATAATCTTGAAAGTATTTTCTCGCAGTGGTCACTAATTTCATGTAAAATAAAAAAGCTAATGATAACGTTACTCTGCTAAAAAAATATTCTATCATCGTATCAAAAAATGGGTTGCAATATGTCTCTTAAGATTCATTTTTTACCCAACACCTAGACTTTTGAAGTCTGCCTACTAAGTAGCTTGAAAAATTACTGTATTAGTATTATAAATTAATGGAGGAAGATTGGATTCTTTCCGTGCTGGCGGACTAATGTTGGTCTCTTGAAGATGCTCTAGAAGCAGTTCATAAATGGATTGCAAAAAGACATCGCGACATTTAGAGACTCAACAAATTCAAAAGTATCTATTTTTTTTAGTTTATCAAAAAGAAAATTAAAAAAATCTTGTTTTGAAAACTACAACTTAGTTTTTAATTTAATTGTTATTTTCGTATTCAGCATCCCGAATTTAGCTAAGAAATGTACGTTTTATACAAGATACCACCAATAAACTAATGTTTGTTGTCCAGTGATATTACACATGTTCATTACACACCAATGTTCTTCACAAAGCATCAACAATAGTAAACTCTCAAACATAGTGTAATAAGCGAATTGTGACAAATTGGCGAAAGCTTTTTTAAATAGTTATTTGTGGTTATATTTCATTAGTATTGAAAGCAACCTGCCTGAAGCCTAACATATGACGCAGTGTCGAACAACTTGGTCCAAGGAAGTGAGGGGAATCAATACATATCACTTACTACTCTCATGTATGTACTTATTACTCTCATGTAGGGTAAAGGACTGAAGGGAGACTTTCGGAATCGCTCATCGTAATTTTTAAAATGAAATTTCTGGGCAAAGAGTGCTCGCGTTTACTTGACAGGGCAAACTGACTTTTCAGAAAAAAATGTGACAAATGTCATAGTTAAAGGTGTTAAAGGTGGGCGACTAATAAACGAAAATTCAAAAAACATTTTCTTATTTTTCGGTTGTAGATAAAACGTTGTACATGACACGTGCGTTTAAAGATGATTACAACACTCGTGTGATTAGAACGACTCGGTCTACGATCTCGACGTTCTAATCGTCGTTCTAAAAGCAGCCTGCCTGAAGCCTCACATATGACGCAGTGTCGAACAACTTGGTCCAAGGAAGTGAGGGGAATCAATACATATCACTATACTCTCATGTAGGGTAAAGGACTGAAGAGAGAGAGAGAGAGACCTCATACTCATCATGCATATTTTGAATATGTTTTTTCATTACTTGAAATAAAACTGTTAACATATCGCATATTTCAAATATAATCCAATATTTGATTTTGAAAGACGAAAAAACTTAATAAAATACTAAAATATACTAATAATGACACGTAATTGAAAAAATTAGACACCTACCAACTATATTAGAAACTTGTTAATTTAATTATTATCCTACGATTTAATCATTATATTTTATTATAAAAAGTTTTTTGTTAAACGATTGCAGAACATGAACAAAAATATATATCCTATTTGTTAATGAAAATCCATTTTTATGTTATCTGTTAATGAATAAAATTACTCGGTGTGAATTAGACCAGAATTAATTTAGATGAAAACAGACATTCGTTTAGCATTTTGTGGGAATCCATAAATTCAATATGGTCTAATATATGTTAAATATAATTTTATTTTTAGTACTACATACATTATTAGTGCATGTTACGATGCATTAAAATTGATTATGCTTGCATTGTATTATAGTTATCATTTTAATTATAACAATAAAACAAAACTACCTTATACGTACTATTTTAGCCTATATGGAGAAGAACGTTAATAAAAACAGTTCATTCCGGTATTTCTAATAGAAATTCAATAGAGATTGGTACTCTTCTTTTGTCGGGATTACCTGAAACAAAAGAAATATTAGTTAGGCTAAAATAAAACTATAATATAAATGTTTATATTAGGACAAAATAAGACAAATCTTTTTTTTTTGTTTTTCAGTTTATTCGCTTTTATCACAACATACCATTTTCATAACTTCTTTATTGCAATTATAAGGACTTTTTGCGTATGCGCATTCAAAATTGAACGTAGTGATGAAAAATAGTTCCATTCAAATATCTTGAGAACTGTTGTCCATTGCGATTTTTACTAAAAGAACTTTTTTACGTAAAAAACAGCGGAAATGTATATTTTTCTCTCAGCAGCGTAACACAGGTATGAAAAGTCATTACTCTTCAAAACAGTTAAAAACATGTTAGTGGAGCGCCCAGAGACTTTTACCTCGGAATTCAATTACTGTCAATGTATTAATGTGAAACCTTCTGTATTGTGTTTTATAGATAAAATACTAAAATGTTTACCCATTTTTTTGAGTTGCTTTTAATTTTTTATTTTAGTAATTTTAGTAAATTCTTAATTATTTCCTTCTTAATTTTTTGATTTTTGTAATTCTTTTTCTAAGTAAATTTATTGAAATAAATAAATCTAATGCGTAAATCGTCTGCTTATATTCTAATCATTGAAATTTTGATTGAAATCGAATTATACAGGGGGGCGCGTCATATACGACGCGGTTTTTGCAAAGAGAACAAAAGTTTGTATTGAAGTGAAATTTTATGAGCCTCTCTTATGTAAGTCAATTTAAAGCATTTTGTAAAATTATGTAGAGTTCTACAGGGTGTCCCCAAAAAAAGTTACACATCAAAGTTATATTTTTTGTAATGGAACACCCTATATATTATTTGATTTTTGGATTCTAGTAAAAAATAAAGGTTTGTTTCATTAGAAAAGTATATGACTAAAATGTATAGTTTTTGAAATACATTAACCGGCACGAAAAATGGGCACCTTAAAACTTTGATGTATTTTAAAGGTTAATATATTTTATTTTAATGGTCCGATTTTGATGATTTTAAGCAGTGTGTAGCCAAATTATTTGACTTCTTAGTATCTTTTTCTAAATTAAAAATGAAACTCCCCATCTGTTAATTATACGAGGGAAAACAAAATGTTGATATTTTGGAGAAAGTTTGAAACACCATGTGGAATATGTTAAAACAATAAGAAATTTAAAAATAATTTTATCATCTAGATACATCCTTTCTCGATTGTATGTTTTTTGGTTCTTTAGCTTTATTTGTGTTGGAAATATTCGCTTTTGAAGAAGACACAACAAACATTTTTTCGGAATTTTTACATTAAGACCATGCCTTTTCCTTAAGGTCCCGAAGCAGGCCTTCTTGACATAAGACTTGCTTTATTTAATCTTCTTCTTGTAGTCCGTTAGTTAATATGTACGTTCCTTAAGTGCAATTCATTATCAATTTGAAAAGCTGGCAAACGGCGGTTTCTTAGCAATAAACTGTAGCGTTTTTAAAACAACTACCACAGGACATCCGTACATAAGATAATGTCCGTACACAAGACACTACCTTGGACACAGTCCGTACCTTGGACACAGTCCGTACCTTGGAAATAGTCCGTACCTTGGACACAGTCCGTACCTTGGACACAGTCCGTATCTTGGACCCTAAAAATATGAAACTCTTGTTTAAAACCAAACAAGGTCTAATAAACAAAATAAACCTACCTCGAAATACTTCCGAGGGCTCAATAAATAATAAACAACATGTCCTTTCTTCCATGTGACATTCTGGAGGACAAAAGAAAAGGGACGCCAACGTGCCAGCAAAATACAAATACAAGTTAGGACATCCGTAACTCTACCCTAAAAATATTCAATAATAATATCGAATCGATAAAAGGTAATAACTATCTTTACCTGTAGCCTCGAAATAGCAGCTGATTCAAATTATACAGCAAGACTTAAATAATCACCATTTCCAAAAGCTGGGATACAACAGAGCGTCAAAACAAAGTGAGGTTAAGCACGGAGACAGTTGACAGAAGCGATGTTGACAGCGCCTCCTTCAGAGCAATAACAGGGTTGTGTCGAACGATAACAGGGTTGGCGACTAGGGAATCGTAAAAATTACGCGTCAAATAAACTATCAGGCCTGAACGAGGGAATCCGGTGATGATAGGCCAGACATCATATATTATATGTAAAAAAGACATGTAACGAACTAAAAACGTTACAAAACTTACAATAAGTCGATCGTCTCGATTAGAAGTTCTCATACGAAGGTTTCTGTACGTCTAGATTGACGTCCTCATGGACGTGAACGTAATTCAAAAACCACTTAGTATACTCTATGGTATTAAGGTATTTTTGGAACCGGAATTTTATAGCAAATTCACTGGACTAGACAAATATAGATATATATTTGACTCACCCTGTATATCTATAAAAATATTTTTGAAATGAGAACTACCATTATACGCATATTTTATAAAAGGTTTGGAGTGAAAATCTCAAATAAGAATCCTGATACAGAGCTTTTCCGGAATACGGAGCCATCTTGTATGTATGCATTTGTATATGTGTGTTTATTTAAATACTAAATTGACAGCAACGAGTTTAAATGGGTAAACTTTGTAATATATCTTATTAACAATACAATGCAAAAAGTTTTTTATAAAAATTAGTTCACAGTAAATGAATTTCGAGGTTTGTATCCCACAAAGGCTTAAAGCACTCCACTATGTAGTTGGCGCTCCCTACAAGGAGTTATACTAATACCAAAGTAGAATTTCTCAAATGAAGAAACACCCAAACATCAATTTTCATCCAAATATCGACGATTATTATTTTTAGCTATATTTACATCCCAAAGTATTACACAAAATATTCAGTTTCCCTTTTATATTTTAAAATATATATTAAGAAAAGGTCACACGCGATGTGCAATATCGATAAGAGGCTTCATTTTATAGCTGTCATATGTTGCCACTGGGAATATGCCACGGTTATCCCCCATGGCAATAGAGTTATAAGAGAAAGAAAGCTTCGTAAAAGGAGGATATTTCTCTCTCTATCTTATTATCCAAATGGGTATTGTATAACCATTTTTCTAGAAAATTGGTTCGTAGTTCTTCGACCTCGAAAATGAAAGGAGTGCAAGCGTAAATATGTCAAGGGAATATCATGTTACTGAAAAACAATGTAGGATAAGAAATAAATAAAGGGATTAAAGTATAACATTCGTCAATTTTGTACGGGATGTTGCATTAAAAATGGGGCTTTGCTTCTCATATTTTAGAGTCTACTCCTAGTATTAAAAAAGAGATTAATACTAGTATTAAAAGAGATAAAAAAATTACCCTAAAATAATAGAAATAGAGTAATTGGGACCAAAGAAATTGACACGATTTTTTTTATTTTAAAATTTCTAAGTCGATCTACAGGGTGTCCGAACTGTATTCCGGAAACTTTGGCAGCATATTCTGCAGATAAAAATAAGTAAAAAAGTCTTATAAACGTATGTCCTAAAATGCTTAGTTTCGAAGATACAGGGTGTAGAAATTTCATTTTTATTTCGACTTTTTCCAAATAATTTCTGAAGTAACGGCAATATTTGGAAGAAACTTGGCGTCTGGGAGTTTTTTGACATGAGAAATTTGATTTTAAGGTCAATATGATTCCTATTTGTAGAGGGAGCCTACCTACACGTGTTTTAACTGTTTTGAAGAGTAATAACTTTTCGTCCGTACCTGCATAAAACTATGGAGTGAAAAAAATATACATTTCCGTGACTTTTACGTAGAAAATGTCTCTTGGGAAAAATCGCTACGGGCAGCCGTTCTCAAGATATTTAGAATGAAAATAGTCAATACATGTCATTATTGACAGAAAATAAACACGATGAGTAGATAGTTATTTGACTGAAATAATAGATTGGGAGTATTTTTATTTTCATAAATTAATCATAAATTTTTCTGCGAAAAAATGATGACAAAGGAGTTTTTGTTGAACATTTGGCACAAAAACATTTCAAAATTATGATTTCAGTCTAATAACTATTTAATTAACATGTTTAATTTATGTCAATGATGATTGCATGATAATAGAGGGGTATTGATAATTTTGATTCAAAATATGTCGAGAACCATTACTCGCAGCGATTTTTACCAAGTGACCTTTTTTACGTAAAAATCGTCGTAAATGTATATTTTTTACTCAGTAGTTTTATACAGGTACGGACGAAAAGTTATTAATCTTCAAACCAGTTAAAAAATATGTATGTGGAATGTGGCGCCCTCTGCAAGTAGGTCATATTGACATCAAAATCATATTTCTCATGTCAAAAAACTCCCAGACCCCAATTTTTATCTAAATATTGATGTTACTTCATGAATTATTTGGAAAAAATCGAAATAAAAATGAAACTTGTAAATACACCCTGTATCTTAGAAATTAAGAATTTTAGAACATACATATATACGAACTTTTACTTACTTATTTATTTTTATCTCCAGAATATGCTGCCGAAGTTTCCGGAATACAATTCGGACCACCCTGTATAACGAAATTATTTATTACTTCATAATTTGTTGTGGTGTTTAATAGAATATACTAATACCAATATACAGGTAAAAAAAATTTTGTTTTTACCTCTTTAGATAATTGTGATCAGGTATTAATTGTTAAATTGAAGTTTGACTTCATGTAATGTTATTTTAAGAGAACGGGTTTAAGAGCGGTTTATAATAGAGGGATTTGCGAAAAACTAAAGCGTTTTTGAATAGTGTATTTGGATATTTTAAATAGTTTTTTCTTTATTGTTTCTGTGTTTTTTGCGTCTGACGACGGGATATACCTACTAAAACGTTAAGCATTTGTCGGTTAGTTAAATTTGTTTTACTAGTAAACATCCAGTGACTTTTTTAGGCCTGTTCCAAACACCGGATCACCGTTTCAACACCGGTGTTGGGCTGACCCCGATGGCGAAATATGGACTATCCGGTGTTCTGGTATCGACACCGATACCGGTGTTCATTTCGATATCGGTGTTCATTTCGATACCGGTGTTCATCTCGATACCGGTGTTGGTCTAGACACCGGTGTTCATCTCGATACCGGTTTTGACTACGACACCGGTGTTTGGTAAACGGGTTAAAGAAGAAATAATGCTATGTATAAGTTCAAAATAAACCATGATAATAATAATGTCGTATCGGTGCTTATTTTTATCGTTTATTAAAGCGCACAGACTTTAAGCTTTCAAATTTAAATATATTTTTTTGCCAGACTAATCACTAAAATAAAATATCAGATAAAAGCTTCAGATAAACAACCATAAAGTAAAAGATTGTTTAATCAAAAACAGACATAAAACAAAACAAAACATAAAGAAACCAAAAATTCGTAGCTGTAAAATAAACTAAAAAATATTACATTAAAAAAACAAAAAAAAAAACAAACAAACGGCACTATCGACATCGACACCGAGACCGGTGTTGAGATAAACATCGGTGTTCAGATAAACACCGGTGTCGAGATAAACACCGGTGTTGAAATAAACACCGGTGTCGAGATAAAGACCGGTGTTGAGACAAACACCGGTGTTGAGACAAACACCGGTGTCGGTGTTGACACCGGTACACCGACTGAAACACCGGTGTTCAAATTTCAACACCGAACAGGTCTAGACTGGTTTCCGTTTCGATGCAACGCAGTGGTGTTAGAAATAGAAAAAATACCTTTTCTGTTTTGTAGATTTCTCTTAAAATGGTGGAAATCACAGACTTTTTCAAGGCCCTTTACATAGTAAGGGTCTTGAAGTAGTAATTTTTTTCTATATAGCTTTGTTTTATTTATTCTAAAGGCTAGAAGATAGTAAACGAAAAATAATGAAATTTTTTGGCTGGGGATTTGGCCCTCCGCCCCATGTTTTGGTTTTGGATTTTCTCCAACAGACCTATTTATTGTATCGTATGCAAAAATTGTTTACCAAAATGGAGAGTAAACGAGCTTGTTTACCGGATTATATTGCTTTTCTATATGTTGACACTCGTGAAACTTTCCATTTAATAACGTTAGATTTTAATACAATAGAGTGTTATAGAAAAGAAAACAGAATATTTGTCTTTCTAAAATACAGATTGCTTGTTATCATAAGACGTTTCTAGCGAAAATATTCTAATTTTTCTTATTCCTAATTTTAAAATTGTTAAGCTTCATTCAGAACCTCGAAATTAGTGGAATAAATTAGTGGTTTCATTTTTCGTAGAAGTTTTTTCCTCTAATTTCAATGTATGTGTTAGACTCATATGCCGAATTCGCCCATTGAGCGAAATAAATACTCATTTCGCGATATGATTAAAGCCAAATGAACGGTTGCCGAAACCATAGTTTATTTCTGAATTTGCTTAGACTGATATGCACATTTTGCGAAATGGACAATCTGTAGTTGATCAAATGCCGAATAATCATATATTTTGGTAAGTGATCATTTTTGTTTATCCATTTCGCCGATTGTTTAATTTAGGAATGCTCAAACCTCGAATACAATGCAGATTCTGTGGGGAAGATGGGGAAACACCAGAACACCTTATCACTGAGTGCGCCGAGACGACGACCATTCGTGCCATGAACTTTGTTGATATCGAAGATCGAGAGCTGGCCTCTGTGGAGCCGTCTCAAATATTGGCCTTTGTTAAAGCCTTAAGACTGTATGATGAACTCAAGAAAGGGGAACACACAATAGATCTGTAAGATCGCGGTGATTAACTCCCTTCCTAAACATTTCTACCTCGAATACAATTACAAATATGATATTTATCGCGAAAAAACTCCTTTTATTTCGCAAAAATAACTAGTTTACAACTGAAGTAGAAATTTTAATATTAGGTATAAGTATAAATCTACTTATTACAACAAGAAGAACTGCCATGACATTTACTGTTGCATTTGATTTTGCTTAAGACACATTGAAAATTACATTTTATAAAGCCTTGCTTGGACTTGGTCTCCTTAGCAGCAATCTGCCTCATCGAAAATGACGTGGATGGAACATCTTCCGCAGACATAAATTAACTTTCAGACAACTGTAAGAGACGAAGAATTTTTGTATAAATTCACCAGAACATTATAATCGTATTATACACAAAAAACAAAATGTTACTAACCTGAAACTCATTTCTAGTATACATTTTCTCAAAAACGCCATTGGCTGTTCCTAGTTTGTAAAAACCGTCTTCTTCAGAAATGACTATAGCCATAATATTTCTAGGTGCCGCACGGTCTCTGTCTTCATCAGGAATTTTAATAATCACATTCTGCCCAACAGTAACCAAGGGGGACTTCTTTGCACTGTAACTAACCATCGTATCTGCTTCCCTTTTTAAACCATGTGCACTCGCAGTTCTATTTTTCTGCATTAATACCGTCCGGGCATTAAGTTTTCTGAAGCCAAATAAAATATATATTACATGACAAATTGGCAAAAACACCCAAAATCTGAATACAAATACATACTTATTATAAAATAGGTTTTGCACTTACCCAACATTTTCGACGTCTTCGGTGTTATTTAAATTATTATCTAAATCCCCTTTTTCAGGTGGCAGCTCTGCGTTCAAATCCTCAATGAGTCTGACACCGTTATCATACCCTGTGTCCTCAGATTCATTTTGTTGAGTTCGAACTATATTATCTTCAGTAAATGCAATTTTTTCTCCATTTTCTTCATTTTCAGGCTCCTCGTTGCAAGATTCTCTCGGATTTGTTACTTTTTTCATATTTTCGTATGATAATAATTTCTCTATATCTTTTTCTCCTTGCAATTTTTCAACAATTTGTAATGGCAAGACAGAGTCCCTAAGGCCATTTATCATAGCTATTTCAAATAATGCCTCATATGGAGTTCTTTGAGTACCTTTGTGATAGGATCTATTTTTTTTATCTGTACAAATCTTAATCTCTCAGACCATTTAGTTGAATTATTTTCATTCATCCAAGCAACTAATATGTCACGAACGTCTTGATTTGCTCTTTCCACAGATCCCTGACTCTCAGAATGCTGTGGTTTTCCGTTAACAATTTTGGTCTCGAACATATCTGCTAACTTAGTAATTACAGCATTTACGAGAACTCCCTGCCATTATCACTATGTAGTAGACATAGCGCTCCAATTATACAAAATATATCCATTAAGTTGTAAGCTACTTCTTCGGCCCTCTTTGTCTTCAAGTGTCGAAGGAAAACAAATTTGGTAAGGTGATTTTGATAATTTAATATAAATTTAAATTCTCCATCTCTTTCAGATTGCATGTCTATAAGATTAACTTGACCTCGTTTATTAAATTGATTGATTAGTAACGCTTATTTTGCTTTTTCGGACTAGTGAAGTGGACTCTTAAGCATTTTTTGTCGGTTAGGCAAATCTGTTTTACTAGTAAAACTCCACTGACTGAGCTTCCAATTTTTCTTACCCCTAATTTTGAAATTTATTATTCGCTTCATTCAAAACATCGAAATTAGTGGACTAAATTAGTGGTTTCATTTAGTGAAGAAGTGTGGTCCTCTAAACGCCAAAATTAGTGATAGTAATTTTTCATTAGTAGAAAAAGTTAACAAACTTTTAACTTTTACCAATAATTATACTTTAAAATTTCTGAGTAACGCCATTTTGGCGTTTGATAATTATTCCTCTAGAGAAATTGTGGTTAGAAATAAAACATTTATTGTTTTATAAGCTAATTTCTTTCTCTATGGATACAACTGACTACCGCAAGCTGTTGTTAGGATATCCTATAATTTTAATTGTATTTTTTAGACATTGTGAATGACCGTAAACATTTAAGTATAAATATAAAAAGTATAATTGAATTCACTAATTATATTCCACTAATTTCGAAGTTCTGAATGACGATAGATGATATTTACTATATAATTTTACATATGACAATAGCCTTTATTGACATATCACCAAAATCTGACCCGAAATTTCCGAACTATTTTTTTGACATTGTGAATGGTCGTAAAGCCTTGTATAATTTATACACGTTAAGTATATTTTTAATATATCGTATGCTTGGATAAAAACGGCGTCAGGGATGGCTATGAAATGAAGATCGCTGTCATTTTATATGTAAATTTATATGGGAAATGTCATCGATGTTCATTTCCAAGCTAACTGGACGCCGTTTTTTTCGAGTATACGGTATTTGTCAAGCTTTTAAAGGTTTTGGAAAAGAGATATAACCCAAAAATAGATGTTTATAACTAGAAGTATTACTGAACTATTAAATAAAACTCGAATAGAAAATACCTATACTACATGAATAAATAAATACAATTCTTACATAATCGTCTTTTCCCTATTTGTTTCGTACAATAACAGACTCCTAATAGTTTTCCGAAAATAAGGTTATTTATTCTATGTTTCTTGAAAGTCGGCTTTTCTGATCCATTAAAATGAATTTATAGGTTGTTTATAGCATTTTTTCCCAAATGTATTTTCATAATGCATTTTTGAAAATGCCAAACCAAACCAAACCAAATCAACTTGACTTCGAGGAAAATTTATTTTATTTTCCAGCTACCTCAGCGCCTATTATTCGACTTTAACTCCATCGCCATCCGCTAGATTGCATGGGCATATAGAGATCATAAATAAATCCATATAAATTTTAGTACCCCGACTATGAAATATATTACCGATATGAAAAACTACGTTTTATAAAAATATAAAGTTGTTTTCGATAAAAATTTATACAGTTCTGGTAGTACCATGCCATGTTTTACGATTCAGGGAAGATTTCGACAGACGATGACAGAAAAAAAAGCAGATAACGTCCCATACCAATCTATGTATTTTACTAAAAAAAGTTTCCAATATTTTTTAAGTTAACTATGGATGGGTTTAAATATAAATCCGTCATGCTTCGTCTCTTGTTGTTTTCAACTTCGAATTGATGGTTACTGATTTGATCGCGTTTAGTGCTGCTTGACTATCGGATAGGATGGCAATTTCCTGTTTTCGATAGTTATCTAAGATAAATTGTACGCATCTTTCGATAGCGTAAATTTCTGCCTGAAGGATACTGGGGTAGGTGCCCATTGGTTCGGAGTCTGTCTCTGCTTTAGTTTTGGAAGCATCAGTATACCACGTTATGGTATGGTCTTTACTTTTTTCACAAATTATATTTCCTAACACTTTTTCGTATACTCGCTTTTCAAACCCGTGTATTTGTATATATCAGTTGTTTACGATATTCTCAGATGGTGGCAGCACCGGCAGAGAATGCACAAGTCTATATACATTTTTTATAGGTGCGTAAAAGTAACTACAACTTTAAAATCTTGAATTTTAAAATCAGTGTTTGAACAAAAATCTCCTTAATATTTAAAATTACTCACCGAACAAGGGTAAAAATACACTGATAAAAAAATATGTAAAAATACACATTAGATCATTGGTTACTTTTATGCCATACAAATATGTGTAACATTCCATCTTGTCTGGAATTTTACATTTATCATGTAATTTTACATTTTTGGTGTGTAAAATTAAAATGTAGAAATGCATTTGGTATTTAAGCTTACAATGTACTTATACTTCTTTTGTGTGTCGTAATTATACGACTAAGTTCACTTCAGATTATGTATTTTTACTACATTAGCATGTATTTTTACATTATATGGATATGTAACTTTTTTTACTCTGTCCGATTTAATGTGTATTTATACCATGTATTATTACACTATAGATGAATGAATATGACCAGGAGCTAGGAATTGGTAAATTGCATCCAAAAGGTGTTTATAAAAGAAACTCATTGGATTATTTAAACATCTATTAACTTTCAGTGTTATAGTTCCATAAAAAGATATTTAAACACAAATCAAAAATATCGAGAATAGATTACTTAAAAAACATAAAATATTTTTTGTTATTGAATATAAAACAATTTAAACAAAATTAGTTCAAAATTTTATGATCTACAATGTAATCTGTGAATGAATGCTATATTTCATATTAAAAACTTACCTTCTGAGATACATTTTGCTTTTACGAGTATGTCGAAATTCAGATGAAGTTTTACATTAAGCTTTTGAATCATATCTAGGGTTACTACAGCTTCTTAGAAAAAAGTGACTAAAAAAGGAATAAGCCGAGATAATACTCTTGGATCTGACCCTACTACAAACAAGTATTGTATAATATTATTTTGTAAACGTATTTGTCAATATATACATACCTTATTAAAACCGAATTCGATAAATTTTGTTCATCGAAATTTCCACATTTTCCTTGTTTGTTAGTTACGTTTTTTTCTCGTTTCTATTTTGTTATGTGCCATAAAGATGACATCAAAGTTTCTTTTCTGAACTATATTCAATTATCTTTCATATCTCTCTTCCAATACTATATATAGATTCACACGCAGCCCTATAAAATCTAAATATTATTTTTGTTTACAGAGTTTTAAATATTTTGTATTAAACTTATTAATAACAACTTACCTTTCATTTTCACCTAGACAATTAATCCAAATAATATTGATTTGTCCAATATAAGTTAAATGGTGCAGCTGTATCACCCAAAACGACAAGTGCTATAGTGATGGCGGACCTAATACAGTTCAGTCTCTATAGACAGTGGACGGCTTCATTGCGTGGTCTACTATTGCGTAATCAAGCACGTGATCCGATACATGATTATAATTGGTTGACTTTTACATTGTATTTTGTGATTCTACATAGTAGCGTGTACTTTTCATGTAAATTTACGTATAATAGAAGAAATATTACATGCAGCCTTGTAAAAATACACATAAAATGTATTTTTACCATACACTTTGTAAATATTCAATTACTCATATGTAGAAATACCTTCCTAATTATTTTTATGTAAAAAAACCCTAAATTGTCTGTGAAAAAATAATGTAAATTTACCCTAATTTTTATCAGTGTACATCTGTTTGGACTTCCTCTTAATGCAAAATCCTGGTTACACTCGAGGAATGTATGTCCAGAAATAAGAAACGAGGGTCGATGCTTTTGATGAGGGTTGGTTTAACAAAATGTGTTTCCCCCCCAAAAAAAATTTTGGCTAGACTTTTAATAATATATTTCGGCAGGCATCACATCCTTAATCTGTCTACTACAAATTTATTTATTTGTTCTTTTCTTTTTTTATTTTCTAAAAAAAACAGAGCTTATACGTATTATTTCGGTATGCCAGTGTGAGTGGATTTATTATAAAAACTTCTGGTTATCTTTATTATCCACTGAAATAAAAATTCGGTTGTTTTCAATTTATTTTAAAAATGGTAAAGAGAAAATATGTTTCTTCTGGCCAGACATAACACACCTTAAAATACTTGCACTTATTTCTGGGACACCCTGCATAATTCAGGAGGAAGTTAATATTGTAGTGGAACAACCCAGGG